TGGTGAAAGCTTTGCCTGAGCCCGCGGGGGTGGAGGGAAGTCGGGAGTTGGGCAGCGGCCGTGGACTGTGGGGAGCCCGGGGTTGTGCGACGCCGAGCTCGCTCTGAGCTGGGCTTCATATGATGGCTGACGGTGGCGGCTGTCCCATGTAACTGACGCTTAGAATCGACAGAGGGACGCTGACAGGCCTAAGGTTTCAGGGCTCATTTCATATTTATGGACTGATTCCTTATCGCTTGTTTCTTGAGGGGACAGCAGGTGAGCCCTGGCTCCCACGTGGGGAGGGGCGTGGGCTCTGAATTGGGACACCTGCATAGGGACCCCAAAGTTCAGTCCCGCTATGAGGCCTGGATGGAAACCAGCCCTGGAGTAAATCCAAGGACTCCTGCCCTCCAGCCACCTGAGCCAACAACCCCTCGGAGGACAGCCCCTCCCACTCAGGAAACGCCCACGGATAACGTCCCATCAGGCGTGAGCTCACAACTGCCACAAGACATGCGCAGGAGCCGGCCTGTGCGAGTGTGTGCAGGCACTGTGTCGTGGCGGGGGTCCTGCCTCCAAGACTGCAGGTGCTGTCAGTGACATCAGTACGTTGGGTGAATGTGAGGAGATCAGAGATGGAAGGAAAAACATAAGCAGAGAACAAGAGACTCGAAAGAGTCTAGAAATGAAAGACATGATCCCTGAATTTTAACGGAGTGAATGAGTAAAAAAAAACAAAAAACCACCAATTAGACACAGATACAAAGAGCTCACAGGGCTTCCCTGGTGGTGCAGTGGTTGAGAGTACACCTGCCAATGCAGGGGACACAGGTTCGTGCCCCGGTCCGGGAAGATCCCACATGCCGCGGAGCTGCTAGGCCCATGAGCCATGGCCACTGAGCCTGCGCGTCCGGAGCCTGTGCCCCGCAACGGGAGAGGCCACAACAGTGAGAGGCCCGCGAGAGCTCACAAACTCAAGTTCAATGTCAGTAGGTTGCCTGGACAGACAGATGATCCTGCAGGATCGGGGAGGGGGGAGGGTGCAGAGCGAGGTGAGGATGGGGCAAGAGTTCCAGCACATGCCTGACCAGAGCCCCAGGAGGCAAACAGAGGGGCATCCGGAGCACTGGGGTGTACAGAGTCTCAGATTCAGGGGTCCGAGGTCACGGCAACTAGACAGCAGGCGGCCGCCATTGCAGCTTCAGAAGCCAGAAGACGGGCTGCAGCGGGGCCTGAGCTAAATCAGACCCCTGGGGGAACCGTCCTCCAGAATTGGGGTAAAACTGCATTTCAGATGAACCAAAGCTGGGGCAGGCTCTCATCCACAGGGCTTGCGAGGGCCGTCTTCAGGGAAAGGAGGGAATGACCTCGGAAATGCGGCAGATGGAGGACACGGAGCGGGCAGAAGTCTGGCCGACACATGGGCACCTGTGAACAGGGAGGGACAGTGTGAACACAACAACAACCACGGCAGGAACAGTAATAATAACAACATCTGACCTACGGGGTTAAACAGGCAAAGAACCCACACGACTAACATAACTGGGACCAGAATTGCACATCAGCCAAACGTGGGGCCATTAGAGCAACAGCGTCCCAGGGTTTGTGCCCACGCAGGAGGTGAAGGTTTTGACTAACTTTAGACACTACTAAATATGCACATTAAAACATCCAGGGTACTCTCGAAAAGATTAAAAATGGCTTAATAATCTCCAAACCAATAAAGGGGGAAATAGACTAAAAACTATTTAAACTCAATAAATCCAAAAGATGTATTGTTTGCTAGGGCTGCTGTAACAAAGGACCACAGACCAGGTGATTTATTTTTTTACTTTATTTTTTGGCTGCGTTGGGTCTTTGTTGCGATGCGCGGGCTTCTCATTGTGGTGGCTTCTCTTGTTGTGGAGTACAGGCTCTAGGCACGCAGGCTTCAGTAGTTGTGGCACGTGGGCTGCAGTAGTTGTGGCCCGTGGGCTCTAGAGCACAGGCTCAGTAGTTGTAGCGCACAGGCTTAGTTGCTCCATGGCACGTGGGATCTTCCCGGACCAGGGGTCGAACCCGTGTCCCCTGCGTTGGCAGGCGGATTCTTAACCACTGCACCACCAGGGAAGCCCAGATCAGATGACTTAAATCACAGACATTTCTTCTGTTGTAGCCCTGGAGGCTGGAAGTCCGAGATGGAGGTGTGGGCAGGCTGCATTCTTCGGAGGCCTCTCTCCTCGGCTCCTCTACCTGTCCTCACATCGGCTTTCGTTCATGCGTGTCGCTGGGTTTAAACGTCCCCTTTTTATAAGGACACATTCATACTGGATTAGGACCCACCCTAAAGATCTCATTTTGACTTGGTCACTTCTGTAAAGACCACATCTCCAAATCCAGTCACATTTTGAGGTCCTGGGGGTTAGGACTCCACATATCTTTTTGGGGGGGGGTTGCGGGGGACACAATTCAACTCATAACAGAAGGCGAATAGAGAATAAACTCTCTTCAAGCCCACAAACAGCACTTTGGAAAATGACTGTTAGTGACAAGGATGCGGTATTGCCAGCCTTGTATCCTCGAGGCCATTGGCTGGGGGATGGGTGATTTAGGATCCCTTTAGGAAACCATCTGGAAAACTTTAACCCTGGCACGTCCAGTCCGCAGCTGACAAGAGCCTTCTTGCTCCTTCTTGCGCCATCACATCTCATTCAGGTGGTTCCCAGCGACACCCGCCCTCACGCTGTCTCTGCCCCACAGGAAACGCCACGCCAGTGGCCAGCCCTCTGCCAGGGGCCCTGTCGACTGGCGTATCTCCCCAGAACTGCACGGTGCCCTTCAACGACAGCAGGGTGTTCCTGGTGGCTGTGTACAGCACCGTGTGCATGCTGGGCCTGCCAGCCAACTGCCTGACGGCCTGGCTGACGCTGCTGCAGGCGCGCCAGGGCCACGTGCTAGCCGTCTACCTCTTCTGCCTGGCGTTGTGCGAGCTGCTCTACACCAGCACCCTGCCGCTCTGGGTCGTCTACATCCAGAACGGGCACCGCTGGCTCCTGGGCCCGTGGGCCTGCAAGGTGACCGCCTACGTCTTTTTCTGCAACCTCTACATCAGCATCCTCTTCCTGTGCTGCATCTCCTGCGACCGCTTCCTGGCAGTGGTGTACGCGCTGGAGACGCGAGGCCGCCGCCACCAGAAGACCGCTATCCTCGTCTCCGCATCTGTCTTCGTTCTCGTGGGGCTCATCCACTACCCGGTGTTCCAGATGCAGGAGAAGGAAACCTGCTTTGAGACGCTGCCGATGGACCGCGAGATCGCCGGGTACTATTACACGCGCTTTGCCGTGGGCTTCGCTGTCCCTCTGTCCGTCATCGCCTTCACCAACGAGCGCATCTTCAGGAGCATCAAGCTGAGTGCCGGCCTGAGCGCCGCGCAGAAGGCCAAGGTGAAGCGCCTGGCCGTTGCGGTCGTGGCCATCTTCCTGCTGTGCTTCACTCCCTACCACCTGGTGCTCCTGGTCAAGGCCATAGCCTTCTCCTACTACAAGGGAGACACGGGTGCTGTGTGCGCCTTCGAAATCAAGCTGTACACAGTCTCTGTGGTGTTCCTGAGCCTGGCCACGGTGAACAGCGTGGCTGACCCCATCATATACGTGCTGGCCACAGAAGTTTCACGCCAAGAAGTGTCCAGAATCCACAAGGGGTGGAAAAAGTGGTCCATGAAGACAGACGTCGCCAAGCTCACGTATTCGAAGGATTCACAGGAGGCACAATCGCCCACATAGCTCACAAACGGCTACGCCTTCCCCAAGCCTGTCCGCCCACCGGGGCCACCACTGGGCGTGCGGCCTCGCCACGCACCCTGGAGGGCCTGACTGAGGGGTCC